CTTCTCTCCTGTCATCTTCAACTCGAATGGTGCTGGTGAATGCGTTGTATTTTAAGGGTCCGTGGGCTTTCCCCTTTTCGCCCGACATGACGTCGGTCGGGTCTTTCTGTGTGGAGGATGGGCAGACGGGATGTGTCCAAGAGCAGCAGGTGAAGTTCATGCAACAGCAACTGGAGAGGGGCTTCGGATACTTCGAAGGGGAGGCAATGAAAGTCTTGTCCCTGCCTTACGCAGACCCACGCTTCTGCTTATATGTGTTTCTACCCAAAGACATTTCTCACTTTGAACAGCAGTTGCTGCAAAAGCCAGACGCTGCCGAGGAGCTCGTAAGGCAAGTGGACAACACTGTTTCCTCCGGATCGGTGTTGCACTTGTCCATACCTCTGATCAAGTTTGTGGCAGAAGAAAACCAAGTAGACCTTGCTGCGGTGTACAGACACCTAGGCGTGCGTCTCATGTTCGAGGCGGGCAAGGCAGACTTTTCAGGGATTGCCCGTGACAAAGACCTTTATGTTTCTTCCTTCCTCCACCAAGCAGACTTCACGTGGAATGAAGAAGGCACTGAGGCTGCTGCAGCTTCTACCATGATGTTCGCTGACTTCGCTGCATTCATTCCGAAGCGACAAATAACTTTGGAGGTCAACAGGCCTTTTCTCTTTCAAGTCCGAGTGAAAGACACTACAAGTGCACACTCGCTGGTGCTGCTTTCTGGGAGGGTCAAAGATGCCAAGGCCGCGCAGTGACAAACCTGCAACGGCAGCTCAGTGTGTTCATCAGCTTGTTGCTGCTGGGGCAGCAAAGAAGCTGATGAGGATAGCAGCAGCACGCTGCTGCTGCGGCGCCGACACCAGACTATAGGAGCAGCGGCAACATGATGCTGCTGCAACTTTAGTAGCATCATAAGCAGTCGGGAGTCCCCTGCCCCCGACTGGTCCTCAATGAGCATGAGTACTCATGCGCCCTTTCCCTTTGCCTACTTCTTTTTTCTTGCCTTTCTCATGCTGCACGACTACACGTATTATGTGCATCGCTCATCTGTTCAATGTAATCTTCCTCCCTGCCAACTCTGCCCTCAGGAGAAACCTTGCCGGCTTGTTTTCAGCATCTTTTCGATGCTTTCTTAACGCAGGCGTAGCCACACGTGCATGAGCATGAATGCATGTGAAGACACATGCATTCATGCTCATGCAAGGCAATCTACGGATAGCACACACCTTCGAGAAATAAATATATGGGTAGGTGCACTCTTGTAGTGACGTGTCTGCCTCCTCATTGGTGCACGGGCAGCTAAGGGGAACGGTCCCAAAAGAAAGACGGAGCAGACAAAATATATGCGTTCAACACTTGCTCTCGCAAACTGCATGAGTTTAGTGTCTCGGTATTGGGATTGGGAAGGTATGGGGTCTGCGACACCTCGTGGCACCATGTCGGAAGTCAAAAGAAGCTATTAATACGTTGTTACGTAGGGTTTATGTTGATATTCATATGTCTTCGTCGGAATCATCATGCTAATGCCTTCGCCGGATCTGTCGCAACGAAAACACCACTCACGCCTATCTCTATGCGTCCCATACAACAAGTTATAGGATGTGCGCTTCCCTTTTGGGATCGGTGCGAAAAATGAGCTCACCACAACTTTGGACGAGGTATTGGTTTGCTTGGCATCTCCCTCTGCAAGTTGTTTCAATATTTCTACCAAAGTAGAATCTCCCACTGGCGGCATGAGAGAGCCTGCGCGCGCTGCCTGCAGCCGAATTAGACAAACATATTTTGCTGGTCTTGAAGTACAGTTCACGCATTGGTGCCCTCAGCTACAGCTCACACGCATGTGTATTCGCGTAAACATCCGTCCACTCGCAAAAACCACACGGGCCCACCAACCACCCGCCTTGTTCCTCTATAAATATTTAAGGACCAACACAGAGGTAAGTATGACCCTGTTGAACATGCTTGCACACACATTACAACGCATATATGATACACCTACGAATACCCTCATGCACTCATGTAGGCGCAGGTAGAATTAGAAGGACCTTAACGAAACATATATTTCCTGTAAATATTTAACTTGCATGTATGACACAGTTCGCTTTGCTTTGCTCTGCATTCCAAGTACTTACCTGCATGATGTAATTTTCGGCGGCAACCGCATTTTGTGGCTTGACGAGGTGAATACGCGCGACTGCATGCAGATAAGAAAAACCACTCGGCTGTTTTAACTCCGTCCCACCAACAATGAAGCTCCTGATCGTCCTGAGCCTAAGCAGCTTCCTACCAAGCCGTTGATGTTTGCATTTCACATCATTCTGTATAGCATTCGCGCACTTCCCTCCCCTCTTGGTGCAAATTCCCTTGTTTCACCCTTTGTGTCCCTATTGCTTTTTCCCCATCCCCCTCTTCTAGGGTTATTTTTCGGTCTTTCATGCTCAATCCTAAACCCCAAACCCAAACCCCCTGCAACGTACGGCGTTCGTGCGCCTCGGGCGAGAGCAGTGACCTCATAGCCATCCTCCTCTGCTCCTCGACTGCCCTGCAAACAGAACTCAAACACTAAAGTCTCAACCATGCTGCTTGCACGTTGTCGCATGCGAAAGTGAAGTGCAGTTTAGCAGTGAGTACCCACTTGCGTTTCTCCTCTTGCTGCTGCTGCTGCTGCATCTGCTGCTGCAGCTGCTTCTGAACGCTCGGATCGGTGGGGTCCATTTTATTTCCTCTACTGTTGCTGTCGTTTCTACTCTTGAGAAATTCAAGGCGCTGCACCCTGCTGTCGGTGTCACGCGTGGGTTGTCTGCTGGCTGCCGTTACTACGTATAGGTAGCTCTGCTTCCCTTTCAAATTTGGTAAACAAACAAGAACTAGTTCAGACCGTCTTAAGGAGAAACCCAACAGACATTTCTGAGTCCCCCCGACGCCAAGCAACTGAAGGGGGTTCTTATGGTCCTCCTCTTCGTCCGTATATATTTTTAATACCCAATCAAAATACTCACCAATCTAAAAATACAACGAATTCAACCATCCCACGTCATATAATATCCATGCTGTCGCTGCGCTACCAAAAAAGGGGCCCTTAAACCCCTGGCGGGTGGGGGCCCCGGGGCCCGATGCCTACTGCTGCAGCAGATAGTTTATCTACACGCGTCTTCTGAAACACCATTTGAGTTGAACATAGTTGCCAAGATGAACGTGAAATAGAAATGAAACCAATTAACACCCCTTCGTAACTCCGGCTCTCTCCTGCTTTATTTTCTGGCGCATGCACACAGCAACACCACCGTAACTTTCGCAAACATGGGGGCCCTTGTGACACATCTGCCCTTTTGGGCTTCTCTCCTCTTCGTGCTTAATGCATCAGCGGAGGGTTCTCACTTAAACGGCGCTGCAGAGGGGCCCGTGTTGCAGGGTCCTTCGGTTTATCGAGGGCAGGCGCCTGATGAAATCGGCCACGACTCAGCAACGACGTCGCGAGAAGACGTGCTGGTACCTTTGCGTGCAACTAAGGAACATCGATGGTGCAATGCACTGGATTTGCGCAGCACCTATGGAGCCTGCAGCAGCAACCGTAGCGCCGGCCAGCCCAGCGTTCTCCCGGAGACCCTGGACAACGGGTGCTTTGGAGTAGTTCTCCTGCTGCTGCTACTAGCAGCAGCAGACCAAAGTGAGAGGCTGCTGCGAAGGGTTTGGGGTCCCCTACGTTCTCTGGCAAACCTCGTACAAAGAAGCAGGACGCGCTACAACAGCAGCAACAACCGGTTTGCTGCCGCTGCGGAGACGGAAGAGGGGAAGAAACTGCTCGACGAGTTGGCTTCTTTGCAAAAGCAGCTGGTGCAGGAGCAGATGCAGCAGCAGCAGCTGTCTGCGACGGCAGAGTTTGCTGCATACGCCCGAAAGCAGCGCAAAATAGACCAACTTGTTTCCTCCAGAGACACATGCATTCAACATCTACAGCAATTGCAGCAGCAGCAGCAGCCGCACCAGCAGCAAAGCAAGTCAAGCATGCCGGTGTTGCTTCGAGCTGTCTACCAGCTTTTGTTAAAGCCCATCGCAAAGCGCCATGGCTACTCTCTCGTCAAGGTAAGGCTCCGCTAGCATCGGCAGCATCCTTTTGTAGCAACTGCACCAATGAGAGCGTATGGAAGCGCGGTGCCAGGGCCAGCGCTAACGGCAGTGTCAGCACCAGCGCAAGTGCCCACCAGAGCGCCAGGAAGAGCAAGAGTTACATCAAGAGCAGCGGCATAAGCAAGTATGAGTCGGTGCGTTCAGTGTGCTGTTTCTTCTCTTCAGCCGCTTGTTTGCTGGGCTGTGTTTGTTTCAATGGGCGCTCGAATTATCCTGCCAACTGCGCAGCTCACCCCTCTTAATCGTAACCGCAAACCCAACACCCTACACTCCTATAAAAAATGCTCGGTTCCCTTGGCCCTGAGTATTAATTCGAATTTGCTCCTGTTGCTCTACTTGTTCCAGCTTGTTTCAGTATTGAGTTTGCGGGTTTTATGCTGCAATGTAGCTTTTAGGGCCCATTGTTTGTGGCTGGTGTTTGTGCAGTATTGGGCCCTCGTTGTCACGTCGTTTTCCCGTTTGCATTTGTGATTTGCCGCATTTTTCTTAATGAGGTGTACATACTCCTCGCTGTCCCCAACGCCCAGAGCGCAGCCAGCAGCACTGCAAAGGTAGGATGAAACAGTCGCGCCCGCACGTGCAGTAAGAACTGCAACAGCAAAGGCATGCGCAATAATGGCGGCAACGGCGACTGAAGAGCTACGCCTGCAGCAGCTGCTGCAACTCTGCAGTAAGTGCCACTAGTGTTGTAGCACCTAAAGGCGGGTGATGTGACTTCGCCCAAAACATCAGCAGGAGAAAGCGTTCAGACTGGCTAGAGCGACGATGGAGAAAGCGGCGCTGTCAGCATCAGCAACCGTCATATGCATGCAGAGCAGCAGCAGGACACTGAGAAATATGGTACTCGGTGCAACTCTGACTGGGCCTTATGTGCTGCACCGCAGCAGTAACTGCTGCAGCAAGTATATGCGAGGGTGGGATCCCACGTTGATAGGCGAGGGCCATCGTGGGCTTCACGAGAGTCAAAATTCTAGAGTTAAGAGCTGCGAAAAATCAGCTGGTAGCCCCTCCAGCCTACATGAGCCCTGGGAGCAGCGACACCAAAGTCGGTGGCTGCTCCGGAGAGGAGCAGTCCTGCCAAGCGTTTACAGCACTGCTTGCTGCATGACCTCTGCAAGACAACCCCACATACTAGCATGCAAGTGCCACTTTTCGATGCATGCAGCAACAACGAAACGCTTCTTTGGGTATGTTGCCAGCGTGCGCTCAAGTAAAAGTACAAGCGCCTCATTCAGACAGGCAATGTGTTGTGGAAGGCTGCGAAGGCCCAAAACTGTTAGAGGTCCGTTGATAAATCGAACAAAGTTAAAACAATAAGTTTGTCTTTTCTGTCTGCAGTCGTGCAGTTTCACGTGTGCACTAAAACGCCAGATGCCGCTGCAACGGAAAATTATACCATGCAGGGGCTTGGGGTGACCAGGTCCATGCCAACTCCGTTGTACTTGCACTTGCAGTCTAGTCGCGTGTAGAGTCTAAAGACGTCGACTGGTGTCTCGTGTTCTTACTTAGCTGCCCAAACTGTATTTACACTGGTTCATATTATATACGCGTAGGTATATCTCTATTCTATGTATGTGTTACTTGCGTTGTATTTGTCTGCATGCTAACGTTGGACGACTACAACACAAAGAGACGACAAATTTGTCTTGCATGCATGATTGCATATGCGTGTATGTATGCACCATCTAACAACTGCTGATTCGCTTGTCGTACGTGCCAGCAAATTGATGCCTGAGAAATATTTCGGAGCAAAACAGGGTAAACATCATCCCGTGTGAGCGCATAAATCTATGTATGTGTGGTCCCTGCTGAGTCTTCGCTCTCTATAATAATGGTTGAGGACGACTTTAAACAGTGAACGGGCTAAACATGTTAGTTTAGGTCGAGTGCAGGCAGCGAGCGCACCCACCTGTGCACCGCCGACGAGAGATTCTATTCGGACAAATCGCACAGAAGGGTGCCAAACAAACTAAAAAATCCTCCGAAATCGTGGTAAACTTCACTTCCTACAACAGGGCTCAGCAGAACGCATATACATTGAAAGGGAAGCGAAACACCAGAAGAAAATAAATATGCGGGGGAAGCCTTCATGCACCAAGGCACCCGTTAGAAAACTTAGACTGTTGGGGTGCTTTCGTTGCGGAAACGTTGCGGTGATGGCTGCGATGAAGACATCTGAGTATCAACGTAAACCCTACGTAACAACGTATAGGGAGCTCCTTTTGGCTTCCGACATGGTGCCACGAGGTGTCGCAGACCCCATACCTTCCCAATCCCAATACCGAGACACTAAACTCATGCAGTTTGCGAGAGCAAGTGTTGAACGCATATATTTTGTCTGCTCCGTCTTTCTTTTGGGACCGTTCCCCTTAGCTGCCCGTGCACCAATGAGGAGGCAGACACGTCACTACAAGAGTGCACCTACCCATATATTTATTTCTCGAAGGTGTGTGCTATCCGTATGTGTCTTCACATGCATTCATGCTCATGCACGTGTGGCTACGTCTGCGTTAAGAAAGCATCGAAAAGATGCTGAAAACAAGCCGGCAAGGTTTCTCCTGAGGGCAGAGTTGGCAGGGAGGAAGATTACATTAAACAGATGAGCGATGCACATAATACGTGTAGTCGTGCAGCATGAGAAAGGCAAGAAAAAAGTAGGCAAAGGGAAAGGGCGCATGAGTACTCATGCTCATTGAGGACCAGTCGGGGGCAGGGGACTCCCGACTGCTTATGATGCTACTAAAGTTGCAGCAGCATCATGTTGCCGCTGCTCCTATAGTCTGGTGTCGGCGCCGCAGCAGCAGCGTGCTGCTGCTATCCTCATCAGCTTCTTTGCTGCCCCAGCAGCAACAAGCTGATGAACACACTGAGCTGCCGTTGCAGGTTTGTCACTGCGCGGCCTTGGCATCTTTGACCCTCCCAGAAAGCAGCACCAGCGAGTGTGCACTTGTAGTGTCTTTCACTCGGACTTGAAAGAGAAAAGGCCTGTTGACCTCCAAAGA